GAACCTGGGCTATATTGCATACTAGGCATACTAGGCAGAGATCTTAGCCATTAGGCCACAGGCTCTTATCCCACCGGACTACAATTTATGATGTTTTTGGGTCAGGAGGGTCACCAGGCTCAAGGTTGACTCAGCCTTCCGTCCTTCCAAGGACACAGATTGTTTGGGGGGGGGGGGGGAGGACAAGAGGCTGACTCTGTAAACAACTTAAAGGGGGCTGTAAAAGCCCTGTGAAGCGGTAGATAAGTCTAAGTACTTATTGCTGTTTACCGTGCCGTTACTGTTACTCCAGGAGGTGTTCATCTGAGGCACCGAGTAGAAGCTGCAAGTCAGTTTCATTACCTCCCCTTCCCGCACGCTCAGATTCTGCTCCAGAGGCACCGTCTGGGGCTTTGCTGCAAGGGGAGAAAGGGCAGACGTTGGGCGCTGCCTGATGGTTTCAGGAGTGCTCAAGGGAGAAGAAGGTGAGGGCTACCGGGTGCCCCACTGTGCCTACCTCGAACAGCAATAAAAATGTGCCGGGAGCGCACCCAACCTGGGAAGTCTGGCATTGTCACCACACAGGTGTAATTGCCCATTTTCTCAAAGGTGATGGAAGTCAGGTTCAGGACGGCACCGTCTGCAATGAGCGTCCCTTTCTAGAATGGAAAAAAAATCACCCTGAGGTCCCCTTTCCTTAGCTTTTTTTTTTCTTTAGTTCCGTCCCTCCTGAGACTTTGGTCTCTTTCTCTCCCTCTCCTATTCCAACCCACCACCTCCACCTGTCCTCCACAAGGTGAACCTCGCCTATTTTGCATCCCTCCCCTGTCCACTATCGCCTTGGGGCCCCATGAACGCCAACCACGGCCCACCTTTGCTCCAAAGTCGACTACCCACCCCACTGGGCACAACCACCAAAGTTACCTTCTGCCACTGGAATTTCAAGGGTCCGGATCCCGAGGTGGAGCAGTTCAGGAGCAAGTCTTCTCCTTCCGCTGGTTCCTGGGGTCCAGCTGGGAAGATGGTGGGTACGTCGAGGTCTGGTGGAGAGAAACAGTCTTAACTCCCAAAGCCTGATCTTTAGTTAGCATCAAAAGAGACAGACTTCCCCAATGCCCTCATTACAGCCTACAACAGTGATGTCTAACCTTTTGCGGACTGAGTGCCCACAGCGCGCATGGCCCCCATGCATGCACTCTTCCCCCCTTGCATGCATGCACGGTAGTGGTGAGTTCCGGTACTGGTTGAAATGGGCCCAGTGTTACCCATATGGACATGCGTGGCATGCTCATGCGTTGTAGTTGTCAGCGACACTTCCACAAGCCTCCGCGACACTCCAGCTGCTCGTTGGAGTGTTGCGCAGGTGCTGTCCCACCATGCGTGGAAGCGCCGAAGGCTTTAAAGGACAGATAAGGAGCTCGGGCGGGCAGGTGGGCCCTCCAGAGTACCATACCACAATGGTACATGGTGCTCCAGGCAGGCTCCAATACGCCCGTATCGGGGGGGTACCGTCTGCAACCCCCCACCGGTGCACGGCCTCCTGCATATGCATATAATCCAGTGATGGCTAAACTTTTTGTCAGTGCGTGTGCCAAAAGCATGCACCCATAATGCAATGCGTGACCCGTCAAAACCGCGGTCGACAAAAGCGCGCTCGACAAAAGCACGTACATGACGTCATCACAGCGCGACGGAAAAAATTAAAAATTGAAATAAAAATAAAATTAAAGCAAGCCGATTCACATAAAGGTAAGGGTTAGGGTTAGGGTTAGGTTAAGGGTTAGGGTTAGGTTTAGCGTTAGGTTTGGGGGGGTTAGGGTAAGGTTTTCGCTTTAATTTTACATTTATCGCTCACAGCGCGATGTTTTTGTCGCGCTGTGATGACGTCACGTACACGCTTTCGTTGAGCGCGCTTTTGTCTACCGCGGTTTTGTGGTGGAACCAATGCAATGTTTGTGTGACACCCCACGCGCACCCCTCAGCCCCTCCACATGCGTGTGTGACCTCCCGCACTCCCTATCCTCCCCGCGCATACAACTCAGGCCCCCCTCACCCATTTTTGGCTTCCAGGAGGCTTTCCAGGCCCAAAACAGGGCACGGGAGTGTTGCACAAGCCCCCCCCCCCCAAATGCAATGCGAGCACACACACACCGTGGATGCGTCCCCTGTGCATGTGTGCTTGCACACCCCACATGCGCCCTGCCCACCGTGCATGCGCGGCAGAGACCCGATGACCAGCTGGCCAGCAGGAGGCACGCAGGCATGCGCAGCGGAGCTGAACTGGAGCGATGGCTGATGTGCCCGTAGAGAGGGCTCTGTGTGCCACCTGTGGCATGCGTGCCGTAGGTTTGCCATCACAGACCTACAACCACCTTTTTGCAGCCCCAGCATTATCTTGTCTCTGCGTGAAGAAGCTCACTTTCCTAGCAAGAAGCTCGCTTTGTCCCTGAGTCCTGTGAAATCGGAAACGAGGACCAGGAGCGCTACTCACAGTTTACCATCAGGTCTACCGAAGCGGCGAACTCTTCAAAGGTGTGCAAATCCAGGGCTTTGCACACGTAGACACCGCTGTCGTTTCTCAGGACGCTGGAAAATAAGAGCCTCCCGTCTGGGGCCAAGAACTGTGTGTCCTGTTTGGGGCAGGAGGAGGGGGGGGTCAGTGAACTGGGAAGGAAATCCCACCTCCCACCTCGCAGCATTCCGGCTTTTAACTTAATTAAATTCTGTTTATTTCATACTTAATGCTTTAATGTTTGCAGCTCTATTTTTATGATTTTTTTTTTAAAAAGTTCTTTTTATTTTTCCTTCCAAATTCATTTTTAAGTATACATTCTTATAATTGCTATTTAACATTTGTCAATTCATATCATTTTTCCACCTGTATATTTACATTTTCATATTTTCTTATTTCCCCTCCCCCGGATTCAATAATGTGTCCTCTTGAGTTATTTGTTTTGTGCCTTGTTCCTTTCTCTTTTTATTTGTATCTTTTTAATGATATTTTTAAGCCACCCAGTCGCTTGACAAGTCTGTCTGTCTGTCTGTCTCTCTCTCTCTCTCGCTATCTAGCTATCTGTCTCTATCACTTCTTTCATCTCTGACTCTCATATCTATCATCTCTGTCTTTCTGTCTGTGTCCGTCCGTCCGTCCGTCCATCCATCCATCCATCCATCCATCCATCCATCCATCCATCCATCCATCCATCCATCACCTCTCTATTACCTCC